ACTCTTCGGGACATTGCATCTGCTGGAACGCACGAGGCCTTCTTTGTCATGGCGATCGCAAACGCTGGGCGAAGATGCGACAGCTCTCTCCACTTCGGAAGAAGCAATCACTGGTGGCAATGCAGGGGGTTCACGGATCGCTGTTAGACCTCCAATCTCACATTGACAAATCCCTTATCGATATGATGTCTTCCTTAGCGAATGCCCTTCCAGCAGAGGCGAAGGCGGTCTGGCCTTCTTGGTTCAAGCGGCTGCCTCCGTGGACACTGCCGTCTCCATGCGGCCCATCATCAGAGGACGTGTGGCAGTGCTATACATTGCTAATCACAACACAGGCTTCGGGACGCTTTTCATGAACGTTCACAATCATGGTTTGGCGGCAGCGGACATGATACACGTGACAGAAGCGTGGCATGCTTCACGGAGGTGTGCAGCTCAATCGCCACAGCAACGCGCGTTCATTGCCATGGGCGACTTCAACACCAGCGCCGTACCCCCATTCAATCTCAAGGATACGTCAGCTCGCTGGCGACCGATGGCCCCTGACGGTCAATACCAACGGGAACAAGCACGTTGGCGCCAGTTCCTTGCTTCTCCCACGGAGATCACCCACGACTTGCCCACGCACTTCTCGGCGAACACACAGGCTGCGACAGCCATCGATCGCATCTTCATTTCTCTCTCTGGCATCGACCTCATGAATGTCGACGCGCACTTGAAGATCCACATGGACGGAGCTGCACTTTCGGACAAGGGCCTGAGCGATCACGCGATCCTCCACATGGTACTTGCAAATGTGACGGCGGCTCGCCCAGAGGAACAGGCCATCGACCCGAACATTTTCCACGACCCCTCGTGCCAGGTGCACTTCAATTTCCTGAAAGACAACGTGGCTCAAGCTCATCGCACTCCAACTTCTGCATGGCAACAACACAGACTCCTTATCAAAGAGGCTGCTCGTCTTACTCGCAATCTTCAACAGCGCGCTTCTCTTCAGGACCTCAGCCGATGGGCGAAGCACGGACAGCTGACCACATTACGGGCTATTGCTCGCACCATGTGGCGCAAAGACAAGGACACTGCGGCGCTTCTGATGGCGACTGCAGAGATTGGACGAGCACACGTGTGCATCACTGCGAACGGCCCCGAGCTCACAACAGAGGCGCCTTCATCCAGCTGATGGACACCACGGTCACTGCCGACTGCGATCGCCGCGTCGCCCTCGCCACCAAGCGCCGGCAGAGCCACGCCGCCGAGCAGATGGACCAAACTGGGAGCAGGCGCGCCGCCATGCAGCTCACCTGGCGAGCCCGGGCGTGTAACCCGTTCAGACGCCGCCTCGTACTTGCAGGACTTAGGATCCCAAAAGAAGGCCCCACCGATCCCACCCCTAGTGTCACGAGCGCCCCTCAGGGGACCCTTGAAGGCCTTCAGAAATTCTGGCAGCCCATCTTCTCGCGCAAGCATGTGGACCCCGAGGCGGTCCGAGACTACGTGAATGCGCACCTCCCCAAGTTCGAGCATGCGGACCTCAGGTTTCCAGCAGTTCACGATTTCCAGGAGGCCCTCCGTAAGGTTAGACATACTGCTCCTGGCCCAGATCAAATTCCATATGCAGCATGGGCCGTTTACGACCTGACGATGCAGACGTTTGAAAAGGACTGGCGCCCCACCAGTTCAACGACTCCGTCTTCGCCTTTCTCCCGAAAGGAGATGATCCACAGGACCTCTATGCCGTCTTCCGTCCCCCAGGTGCCACTCGCCCCCTCTCCTTGAAGAACTGCGACGCTAAGCTGATCGCTCACGTCGTGAACATGGGCTTGGTCGATATGGTTCGGGAGCGTACGATAGACACACAGCAGGGCTTCGTCAAAGGGAGGAACTTTGGGCAACATGTACTGACGCTTGATCCTGAGGCCCGTAGAACAGGTCACTCCCCAGTTGCCTTAGATGCCCTCCCGATTCTGATTAGTTTCGACATAAAAGCAGCCTTCCCATCTCTGGGATGGGGGTTTTTACTTGCTTCTCTGGTGGCGCACGGTGTCCCCCCTGGATACCTTAGCGCGATTTATGCTTTATGCCACGCCCCAGGTGCCTGGGCCCGTGCATGAGGCCAATTGCAATACATGGTTGAAGTCGGTTCTGGAGTGCTCCAAGGATGCCCGCTCTCTGGGTCCATTTGGGCCCTGGCCTTTGGTGTCCCCGTCCGTCATCTCACCCGCATTTTAGCTTCTCTGCCTGGATCGAATAAGCTCGGAGCCTGCGCAGATGATCTGGGCCTCGTTCCCGCTCGCCTTGGGACCCCCCCGTGCCTCCCCCCCCTTTTCGGGCCATAGCCAGCCTCGCAGGACTCGAACTTCAGATCCAGAAGACGGTGATTGTGCCCCTTTGGGCCCACTTTTCGCCAGCCGCACAGTCTCTTACTCAGCGCCTGCTAGCCTTTCTCACCCCAGAATGGACATATATCCACATTGCAGAGTACGCCCGCTATTTAGGCGTGCTTATAGGCCCAGGCGTCACTTTTAGACATTCAGTGGAAAGCAGCTTTTGACAAACATTGGCTCCGCGTAGTGCAACTCGCAGCGAGCGCGCCAGGCCCAGCAGTTGCCATCAAATTATACAATACTTGCGTGATCACGGTACTGTCGTACCTCACACAGTACTTTCCCTTTCCGCCCACGTTTCTACGACATGAACGTGGCACGCTGCACAAGATACTGCGTTCTCCCCCAACTCCTGGCGCCTCGTCGACCTTCTCGGCACTCGCTCGTGGTCGGCTTCGTCCCCCCCCCCCCCCCCCACTGCCTTAGTTACGCTCTCTCTCGCTTCTGCGTGGCGCACGGCCACCGACGCGCTTCCTGACTGGCGCCCGCTATATCGTGCGCTAGTTTCTGCCCAGGACCAGCTCGATCCAGAACTGCCCCTCGCATCCCTGGGCGAGGCCCGTATTCGGGCCACCGTTTCGCCGTTGTTTTGGAAGAGCCACGGTATCGTAGAATACTGGCGCACTCTCGCGGATGGCACGCCACCGTACAAGGTGCCACCTGCCACGTGGATTCATGCCAAGCGAGCTGCGGAAGACGAAAAAGCCTCTGCAGCTCGCGACGCGCGGCGTGCAAGGGTCCAGCGATCCCTCTCCTTTGTCCTCCACGCCTCCCTCTTCCCTTTGCTGAGACCCTAGCACGCCGCCTCCACGCCGCGCTGCCCGACCTCACACTGCCACGCGATCTGTCTGCGCGATGGCAAGTGCTCTCCAGCCATCTGTCTCGCAAGCCCCCAGCCATTCGCTGGGCAGTTTACAAAACCCTCGCAGGAGCGTGGTGGACGACCCACCGCTTCCCGTTCGGCCCGCGCAAGACTTGCCTCCTCGGATGTGAAGCCTGCCCCGATCGCCTCGGCCATTACCTCACCTGTCCCCGCCCTCATCACTTCCTTGCATTACCTCGCTCCTTCCTCTCCCCCGACCCTCTCGTACGCATCGGCCTTGGCTCGGAAGAGCAGCACACCAGTCCTGAACACTCTATATCTGAAGCCGTCCGAAGAACGGCACTGTCCTTTCACTTTTATAACAAACTGCGTATCATTACGCACGCCGCGCCGAGCGCCGCGCTTCTTTACACTACAGGCACCGAGTGCCTAGCAACTGCACGGCACGCGATGCGGCCATAGACTGAGACAAGCGGACGCGCGGTCACTTGCCCTCTTCTCGCGTCTTGCCCGCTTGCCCTCGTCTCGCCCTTTCTTGGTACGGTCGCTCCTTCTCCTCCTCCTCCTCCTCCTCCTCCTCCTCCTCCTGCTCCTCCTCCTGCTCCTCCTCCCCGTCCCCCTCCTCCTCCTCCTCCTCATCCTCCTCTTCCTCCTCCTCCTCCTCCTCCTCCTCCTCCTCCTCCTCCTCCTCCTCCTCCTCCTCCCCCTCTTCCTCCTCCTCCTCCTCCTCCTCCTCCTCCTCCTCCTCCACCTCCTCCCCCCTCCTCCTCCGCCAGAGAGGGCACCAGCCACACACCTAGGCAGATCCTGGCCAGGCCGAGCCAGGGGCCAGGAGGAGCCCGGCCAGGATCGGCGTAGGCGTGCAGCTATTGCGAGGACCGTCGAGGGCGAGGTGCCGGTTCGGCGCCCAGGGTCGAGGATCCGGCCCGAAGGGCAGGCCAAGGAGGGAGAGGAGCAGTGACGAGGAGCAGATGGATCGCCCTCGAGGCGCAATGACGAGTGATGACGAGGAGTAGTGACGGGGATCGCCCTCGCTTGGCGGGGGGGGGGAGAACGAGGGCCGACGAGGGCGAGTCGCCAGCTCGACGCCCAGGGACGAGGATCCGGCCCGAGGGGTGGTCCAGGGAGGGGGCGGAGTAGTGACGAGGGGCAGGTGGAGCAGCATCGGGAGCAGGAGGAGAAGAGAGGAGGAGCAGGAGGAGTACGTGAGAATCCCCCTGGCTTGTGGCTCTTCGGTGGCGCACCCCAGCAGCCGAAAAGGGGCCGGCGCGGCGCCCAGGGACAAGGATCTGGCCCGAGGAGTGGTCCAAGGAAGGGGCGGAGTAATGACGAGGAGCAGATGAAGCACCATCAGGAGCAGGATAAGGAGAGGGGAGGAGGAGCAGGAGGAGCGCGTTGCCCTCGGAAGCGCTGCCTAGGAGCTGCGCAGACCTGGCCTGGAGGTCCTGGCAAGCTCTTGCGAAGACCAGCCCTCCCCTCCCCACGGGCCGCCTCGAAGGCACGAAGTTATTCGCGCTTTGCGGCTCGGCTCCGATCCTTCATCCACCTCTTCTCTCCTTGGGGGCAGTGCGACAGCGCGAAGTTATTCGCGTTTCGCGCAGCGCGAAGCACGAAGTTAGGCGCCCTGGAGCTGACACTCCCACCGATCGGGTGTGCCCGTGCCCCACGGTCGGCTCGGCCGAGACGGTCCGCGTGGCGCGCTGCGTCCCCCGCCCCATTTGGATGAAACCACCCCAAGAAGTCCACTCTGACGACGACGACGACGACAAGCCCCCGTGCCCCTTCGGCGACAGGTGCTCGCCTCGCCCCACCGGCCCGCCTCGGTCGCCAGCCAGGCGCCCGTGGGCCAGGACCCGTCCACCCCGCCCCCGCCGCGCCAGGCCCCGCAGCGGCCTCCTCTTCCTCCCTCCTCCTCCTCCTCCTCCTCCTCCTCCCCCTCCTCCTCCTCCTCCTCCCTCCTCTCCTCCTCCATCTCCTCCACCTCCTCCTCCTCCTGCTCCTCCTCCACCTCCTCCCTCCTCCTCCTCCTCCTCCTCCTCCTCCACCTTCTCCCTCCTCCCCCTCCTCCTCCTCCTCAGCCATTTCAGGCCAGATGCGATGCAAGCTGGCTGATCCGTGGCACTCCATAGTAGGCCCGTCCTTCCTCGGCACATGCGCGCTCGCCGAAGGTAGGTTTGTGGCTGGCCGCCTGTCACCGTTGGGAAATACAACCCTTTGGGCTGCGAATTCCTGGGACCAACTTTAAGATATTGCTGCTACTACTCCGAACTTCGACGTGCTGGCTTTGGTGGGCACAAAACGAAGGACCACCCGCGGCACTGCCACTCGGCGGAGATGCATGGGGACGAGGACTCTCCATGAAGCTGGGTGGGAGGTGTCGCCGTTTACGAATTCCTCGTGCGGATGTGCTGTGTGGTGGGGCCGCGGTGTTCGGCCTGAGCATGTCATACGGTGCGAGGCCGCCCCCGCTCCGCTCCAAGGGCGTGGCCTCCACTGCCGTGCGCGATCTGGCATCCTCGACCTGTCTGTCATCGTGTGCTACTTTCCACCTCGGCCGCGGACATCAGCGGCGTGGGGCAACTACGAGTGCATCGTGAGGCTACATGGCGTGGTTGGCCGAGCAGCTGGCGAAAGTGCCGCAGCGGAGCACCCCTATTGTTTGCACCGACCTCAACGATGGCGTCGGCATGGAGTGTGCCGAGGGCCGATGGACGTTTGACGGCCGTGATGTTGTTCCCGAGTCCTCGGCCACACGAGGCCACCTTGCGGGGCCGCTCTTCGCCGAGCTGCTGGACACGCATGGCATGCAGATCGCGAATATGCAGGTTGGTTTTGCTCACACGTATTTAGGCAACCTGGGCGCGAGCAGCTGCATCGACATGATTGTTCTGCCTGGGGCGCTTGTTCGGGCCGTACGAAGTGCTGGACCTCTTCAGCGGGCCAGTCGGAAGCTCTTCGCCGGGATCTGCGCCTATGTTTGGCCGAAGCCCCGACGGCGGAACGCGAGGCAGAGGTGGCGGAGGCACCCAAGGAGGCTACCAAGGCGATTCGGGCCTACCTTGCTGCAGAGGGCCGACGCCGACGCGCTGCACTTGTGGGCGAGGCATGCGAGCTGTGGCGCCAGATGCGAGTCGCCGAATCGTTTCGTCGTTTCAGAAGGGCGGCGAGCTCGCGCTTCGGACCCAAGAAGCGGGACTATCTTTCTGTGCACGGGGTCGTTGACTCTTCCGAACAGCTGATTGAGCAGTTCGCGAAGACCGGCCCCGTGGGCGGCATGGCTGCCAACGAAGATTGATGACTGGGAGGCATGGCGTAGCGAGTGCCTCTCTTTCCGACCGCCGCTGCCGCCGCTGGATTCTGCTCATAGGTCCGCCGCGGCAGCTGATTATTCTTTGTTCGCGAAGGACTCAGTAAGGCGAGTCAGCGACGAGCTGTTCCTGAATGGGCTGTACCACTCGAGCTGTGGTGGTTGATGTGCCACCCGAGTACAGGCGTTTCTAGGAGAGGCTCAGCGCTCGGCACTTCCACAGCGCGCATCGAGGCTCCCCTGTTCAACGTAGCATTGTTCGACAGGTTTGTGCTCATCCGACGCTCCTCTCGCCTCCCTATTCGCTGGCACCGTAGCAGCGGTGCACTGGTCCCACGCAAGGGGGGCAAGGAGGAGGAGGATGAGGAGAATGGTGAGGATCAGGAGGAAGAGGAGGAGGAGGAGGAGGAGGAGGAGGAGGAGG